TTTATAAAAAATACAGGTGCTAACTATAATTTATACCATAAGGATCTTCTCCTACTGTAAAGTGATGATCACTAACACTTCCTGAACTAGGCTACTTCTTCTGCAGTTGCTTTTTTTAAAAAAATCCTGTTTCTTGTGCCTTACCTTTCCATTTGTTAACCTGCTGCACTTGTGCTTCCACCAGGGCTTGGCTAATCTGGCCCATCCAGTCATTAGTAGCCTGGCAGCCATCTACAGTAGCTTTTACACAGGAGTAATGTTTTTGCTATTTTATCTTTTAGACAGAAAGCTGGAGGATTAAAAAAAGAAAACAAAATCCTGGCCTGTCTTTCATACTACATTCACCTTTTTCACTCACAAACTAACCCCACAAAACAAGGAGGACTGAATGTGGTAGAACAAAGGTCCCTATCCACTGATTCTAGTAGCTATCTTACAACATCCCCCTGGCTTGGCACCTACATGTAACTAAAATCCCTAGGGCTAAATTCATCCCTCATTGTTAACTTCAAGTGAGCTACGCCAAGAATAAATCTGACCAGTATAGCAAAGTCTCAGGGTACATTGGGAATCAGGTAGAGATGGTCAGAGACTGTTTTGTTTTTTTCACAGAAAAAAATGACTGTTTTTTTGTTTGTTTGTTTTTTTGAAAAACCAAAAACATTTTGGCTGAAAACCAAAAATTTGGGTTTAATTTTTTTAACGTAAAGTGCTTTCAGCAGAAAATTTTGTTTAGTCAAAAACCCAATTTTCCATTGAAAAATAGTTTAGATAGAAAATGTTTGTCCAGCTCTCCTACTGAGTAAAGTCTGAGATGGAGTCTTAAACAGCTGAAATAGACATTGCTGCTACACACTCCTGGCTAGGAACATAGATTAAGGGTTTGTAAGCATTACAACAAACAATAAATACGTGACTACAATGGGGGGGGGGAAATCAAGTAGTACATTTAATCAGGTCTGTTTATTCTAGCAGAAGGAGGTTCTCTTGATGATGGTATGGGTGCCAGAACCCTTAAACTTCAGCAGTTCTCTCATCCATACCACTTTAAAGGCAACAAACTGTCTTATACAAGAAGTGATATCCTGAGCAGTCCATATATTCTCACAGAGATTTAGGCTCTAAGTCTGCTAACACTTATGCATGTGCTTAACTTTACATACTATTACTTCCACTGAAGTCAATGGTTTTTATCAAGTGCCTGTCATGCTGGTATCTGAACATGTATTATTAATAATTTTTATATTTAATTTGCTAAAAGCCTCCATTAAAAATGTTTGGAGGTCCTTGGATGGACAGTGTCACAGACATGCAATGTACTTTTATTAACTGACACTCACAGAGCTTTTCTGGTTTATTAGGTACCTTTCACAGAGACACCTTCTCATTAGACTGGAACAGATTAATAGGAGTCATATTTTCATTTTCAATTAAAATACGGGCCATGCATAGTCTATGTGCATCCTGGCAGATGTTTAAAAGCGTTGGCTCTCAGAGGTGAAATGTTACCTTATATCTGTTGGGGATGGTGAGAGGGTGTTCCAGGAGCAGAAAGACATGTTAAAATGCAGCACTTCAGACTGTCTTCTTTTCTGAATTTACGGCATCAGACTGGCAGTTGTATAAATGAGTGATAGACTGCAATGCTCTTTTCCAAGCAGGCTATGAAATGAAGGAGCCTTCAGTTTTGTGCTGATGTGTCCAGAATTCAAATAATTTGTTTCTTGAATATAATGACTATCGGAAGCACGGTATTACCTTGAGAAAAGAGGTGGGAGAGACAGCTGCAGTGCCCTGTACTCATAAAAGATATTGCATTAGCAACTGCTTCCCAATTACTCTCTCCACTGAAAACTCTATTATGCTGGGCTCTTATTGCTTTTATTCACGGGCACAAAATTAAAAAGTGATATTGCTGGCACTACTCTCATCTTCCTACCATGACATTGAATAATTGGACAATGAAAGAAAATGTTCAATGATGCTGATATTAAACACATCTAAAGGACAATGCATTTGAACATCAGCTGATGAAGTAATGTCCATATTATTATGCATTCCCTTCTACTACTTTGAAATCACTTGTTTTCATTTTTGTTGTTGGTGATGGAACATTTTATTTTCCCATAATTGCTGAAGACATGCCCTGTTTTAAGGAATATACTTGTGAAAGGGATGTGTGTGAGATGCTTCTCAAGTTAACCCCCTCACTGTATTTGTCCTTTCTATTAAAGGAGAAGGACATCTACTGCCTTTTTCACAAGGATCTAGGGAATCAAATTCACTAATGACTTCAGGGTGGTGTAAGTTATAGTTTGGGTGAGTCAAAAAATGGTATAAATTGTGAAGGGTAACTTGCATCAATTTGGCATACATTGGGTGAGCAAAATGAGTGTAATCTACACACAGAGGGGTAAGAAATGGGGAGTTTAGCAGCAAAAAGCAACTGGAAGGAATGTGTACAATAAGGTTTCTTGCAGGGTCAGGTGGGGTGGAACATGCATTATCTTACATATTACAGTTGCTTTTCAATTACCTCCTTTCCTCTCACACCTTCCCTCCCCCAACTCATGCATACTCCCTGCTCCAGGGTACGTAAGAACATATAGACATGGGAAAGTTTTACCAGTTATATTGGTATGGTTATACACATGCAGTTATACCACTATAAGCCCCTTATTCTGGTTTAAGAGAGTCTTTTTACAGTTTAGCTTAAACCCTTTCCCAGGTGACAAGCTAAACCAAAAAACTGATCTTATATGAGAATAAATGTCCACAGAGGTGGGTAGGGAGGAAGAGTTGTGCTACATTAGTATAACTATATCTAAATAAATTCATATTTTAGGTTATACTGAAAAATCTTTCCCCTGTAAACAAGAAACTTTACAAAAGTCAGTAAGTGTTATTATCCCTGTTTTACAGATGGGAAGTTTAGGATGATGTAAATATTCTGCAGAATATTTAAGTGACTTGCCAAAAGTCATACACGAAATCACTCTCAGAGGTGGAAACAGAATACAGATCTTCTGACTACCAGACCCTATTGTAAACACTAAAACCACATTATTTCTATGGCCTATTGAAATCATTATTCAACATCAATCTATTCAATATCAATCTAGCTAGTAATAAAATTATTTATACTAGTATTTCAGACGAACATCTATATGAGATAGAATCTCTGAAATTAATCCTTTTTAAGGGATATCCAATGTAGGAGTCAAACTCACAAATTATACACCATTAAATGAGTAGGAAATAATTATCAGAGCTTTCACTTCTTTGGAGATAATTAATTATCTTGATGCTGCTTTCACCACACTGGTTTTATACTGATGTAACGCCATGAACTTCAGTGGAATTATTCATCCTGGATTTACATCATCCTAAATGAGATCTGAATCCAGTTCAATACCTCTTTTGTAGCAATACAGGGGAGCCAAAAACATAGTGCTTACTTCTGTTAAAATGAATCTAACTTTGTTACCTGTTTCTGCTAATGTAGTCATAACTGTCAACCAAGGTTCTTAAGCAGCAGCAATCTACAGCCTAATGAAAACACATGGCAACCAGTCAGGGGTCCTTCAGCCAGCAGATGAGTCTGACACACCAAAGGTCCAAAATGCCTAGTGCTTACTGCTCTGTACTATCACGCAGAAGATGCTCTTTCCTATGTAGTCTTCTTTGCTATAGGTCACTGATCGGCGAATACAGCAGGGGACAGCCTTATCGTTTGTAGCTAGCATCCTTACATCTATCTTGCCGTGGACTAGTAGAAGATGATCATCTCACTGATTGTGGTAGAGATGCTGACCATAGGCAGTGCCAAGCACTCCCCAATGTATTAAGAAGCAGTGTCAGTAGGATGTGTGGACTCAAGGAGAAGAATACTAAGGCCTAGATTCTCAGCTTTGCTCGGTATTTGCTAGGTGCTGCTGAGGGTGTGAGGAGGTCACAGCTGTGGCTCCCTGTTCCGGAGGCTGGTTCTATGCCTGCCATGCCCTGAGCATAGTGTAAAGCAGTGTTAAGGCTGCTAAAAGTATATCAGCTGTTTATGGCCCCCAGGCTAATGCATTAACTGAGAATATTTGGACCACAGTAGCATTCTCTGGACACACTGTCTCCCTTCTTCCATGTCCTCATTATGCTCCTTATTCTTGGGTCCCCAGTTCTGTGGCTACAGGGCGATCTGCTGCCTTACTGCCCCTCAACACCAGTGGCTATATCAAAGAAGAGAATATAAATTGTAAAACTGTAAATGTAGGGGTCAGTAACAGCATGTGGTGAATGGTAATAGCTCTGCTGAAAACCATCAGACAGGCAGATGCACCATGCGCTGAGAGCATTGGACTCACTTAGTTACACTCTAGTATTGCCTAGTGTGAATTTTCGCAACTACTTTCTACTAAATGGAATGTCAGACCTGCTCAAGTGTTTGTCATAAGCCTTAATACTGCTACAGTTAAAAGAGATTTACCTTTATGTCAAGAGACTATGGTTTTGCAGGAAGGGATGGAGTTTCATTCTCTCTAAACATGGTGAATCCTGGGTGGTTGCAGATCTGTTGTATTAGGTTCAGGAATGACACATGTGCAGATGAGAAAATCAGGTCCAACCACATTCTGAGGAGATCCTTGTTCCTCATGGACTCTGTTGGGTTCAGACAGCTTCTGTCTTTGTTATGAAGCAGCTGAACAATGTTTTTCTTTGCTTGGCAGCCAGCTCCAGAACATCCACTGTCCCATATCACTGCTTACTTTCTCCCTCCTCAGAAAGAGCTACACAAAACTCACTCAAAGCAACCTGGGTTCTTATGTCACTGCCTTAGACTGGATCACATCCCTTTGGAATATGCCCTTGAGCAGATCGATAAGAATCAGCTGTGCACCAAATGTAGGCAAATGCAGCCATGGTGCAAATAAATGAAATAAATAATACTGATGCAAAAGCAAACTCACGTCCAAATGGTTGTACATTATCGAAAGAAATAACAACACTCAAACCTTTTGTTGTTTTTATTAAAGCATTCAAGTTCTTACTACACACAACAAATAGTTTATTGATATAATCTAAATTAATAAAATAGTTGAACAACTCTTTAGATTTATATTTGTATAGAAATGATCTGTGGAGCATCTGACCTTCAAACAGTGCTGCTTGAAAACAGCTATTCATGAGAATTTATTGAAAGAATTGTTTGGGGCTAGATGTTGCACTTTTCATTCTCAGGGGAGAGGGAGAGATTTCCATGCGAAAAAACCATTTACTCTCCTGCACAAAGCTTAAGGCTTTGGAGACTCTGACTGACTCTTCATCGCCAGTGTCCTTCCTTATGTCTATATTGGAAACTATTGTCTAAACAGAGTAACTAGAAAAGATGGGAAGAAAAATCAATTGCACAATCCTAGTCTGCGAGTGTCAAAGTCATAATGTCTCTTTACACAAGTCATTACTGCGTTTCCAGTTATGAGAATCCATTATCACAATGTATTTGTTCCCCAACTCTCGCCTACATGGCTGATAATGTCAGTTATTGTCAGTACGCCTTTGCTAATAGAAGTCAGTCTATTTGCTATTGCTTGTAGTTTAGAGTCTATGTAGCACTGTCTGAAAAGGGCTGTGGTCTTTCCCCCCCAGTTTAGACAAAGCACATAGTTTGAGCAATTATCTCCTCATTGCAGCTATGCATTTGTGCCACCCATAAGATACCTCTTGATGACTATGAGGCATGTCCTGGCTATATCATCCCATTTATCTTAGTCCACTCATAGATGTCCTGCTCACATACTATGTCTGAGTTGATGAGGAGGTATCTGTCGCCGACACAAAAATGTTTCTGGCAAGCAGCACATTTGAAGCATTCCAGGTGGTATACTTTGTCCTTCACTCGCATAGTCATCTCATAGGCCCGGATTCGCTTGTCACAGGAAGCACAAAGGCCATCTTGGCCAAAGAGTCTAAAACAACAACAACAAAGAGTTATGCAGAGTTTCCTTGGAGAAGAGGGAGGTTAGGGGGAAAGAGAGAGAGAGAACTGAAACAAAAGAAGTGCACAACATTGGCTTTTTGCCACATTTAACATTGCATTGTAAGATACATAGAAGTTTAAACATTTGTTTGATGAAATCCAACAAGACACTCAAAACTTTCCAGCATGAGTGGCATCCAGCAGTGGTGACCTGCCAAGAACCCAAGGGTGTCACCTATTTTTAAAATGAATATACCTGTTTGTTGTGATCAAAGTAAGAGCCTAATTCTGAAAAGGAAATGAGCAACTTCAATGAGATTTGAACCTCTCTAGATCAGACCATGAATTCAAACCACCCTAATACATTCTTCCCACTCTTAATACTTGCTTTCACTTGTATCTTTCCTAATCAATCAATAGAAATTATCTGCTGATTGATAAATCTTGCCATTGCTCAGTTTTGTCACCACTATGCTGCAGGCTGTGTTCTAGGATTCTGCAGGGTATTTGGGATTCCTTTAAACTCAAATATCAGAGGGGTAGCAGTGCTAGTCTGTATCCACAAAAACAATGAGGAGTCCAGTGGCCCCTTAAAGACTAACAGATTTATTTGGGCATAAGCTTTCATGGGTTTTTTACCCACAAAAGCTTATGCCCAAATAAATCTGTTAGTCTTTAAGGGGCCACCGGACTCCTCATTTTTTTAAAACTCAAATGTTTCTCTACTCATAAAACCACTCCTGCTAGGTTTCAGGAGCTGGATTCTACGACCCTCTAGAAATCCATTTTAGTCCAAAGGATTTTATGATCTGGATTGCTCTTTAAGCCATATTAAGAAATCCTATTGAGACCATAATTATTGGGTTGTCTATTGAAAGGACCCTCTAATGCCTGCACAACATGTTTATCCCTCTCACAAATGTACTACTTTCAGCTGGAACACTATGACCTATTCAGCTATTTGTCATAATGTAATGTCATCCTCTACTGTAGGCCGCAGCTTGCAGAGTTTAAAACCCCTATAATTAATACATGAACAGAAACGTATTATTTGTAATAAGAAAGGGAGAAATTCAGAAAAAAATTATTTGTCTGAAATATTTGCTTGTGTGTTTAAGTTCTCTGATTTGCCACATTAATTTTAGAACTAGTGAGTCCATTTCCCATATTTTTACTGTGTTTATCACAGGCTGTGCCTGCTTCAAGTAACCTACTAGGTTTGATCTCTGATGGAAAAAGAAATAATTTCTCTTGTCCACCAGGAGATGTCGCTGTTCACTTCTGCCTAATGAAAGTGATATTAATATTATATAAAGGTTGTGAAATGCTTCATTTCTGAAAACACGCAGTCTCATTGTACAGAAAACACATTAATTTTGTTCCCATAGCCTATTATTCTTCCATTTAAAAGTTAATAAATATTTGGCAAGCGCACATGGGACTGGATCAGTGTTAGAATGTGCCATATAATGGAGATGTACAGTTTAAGCCACTATTGGGGCCCAACCTCCAGTCTCTAGCAAAACTCCCATTGGAAAAGCTATGGGATAAAATTACTAGGAACTCTACTATCTCCCCCTCCCAATTACCTACACTCTTAAAGGGAGTTTTGTGTAAGGAATATCAGGTTCAATATAAAACTAGACCCTAAAAAGTTTGGTGGGGGGGGAAATGTGGAGTTCCTACTTATTCCATTCCCCTAGCTCCTAGAGCACAAAGGATACATTATAACAAATGATGTAGAAGGAGCAATACACTTTAATTGTAATCAAGAGCACACAGGTTCTTTGTTATCGAGTTATTTGGAAATAATATATTAAACTTTACTCATCTGATTTGTCAAAGTTTATAAGTAGAAAGATGGGCAGGGATCTACTAATGCAAAATCTGTAACAGGTGCTCTTATAGGATCAGACTCAGGAAGACACTAAAGCAAATGCTTAAGTCCATTCTATTCAGGACAATGCTTAGGCATGTGCTTAACTTTATGCACATGCTTAAATTACATTGATTTCAAGTTCTCCTGAACTGGGCCATCATTATTATAATAAATGTAAACAGCACAGTGCCTTTCAGCCTGAAGGGTCCTAGAGAACTTTAAAAACTGATACTCAAATCACAGTTATTGCACAGCAAAACACCCCTCTTCCCCCACATAGAGAGTAGCAAAGCAAAACATCTCTTTTCCAAGCGGTATTATTATACTGTGGGAGAGGGAATGTGGCTAGGCACCAGGATACCTTATTCTTACAAAAGTGGCAGAAGATCTTTCATATGCACTCATCCTTTAGGCCTCAGTTACTATATACAATGCATCAGAAAGGCAACACCTGCAGAAGTACAACTCCTCTAAAACCATGCTGGGGCATTGGCTCATTACTGACTCAGAGGGAAGAGTAACACTCACTGACTCTTCAGCACCTACTCGAGGTGTCCCCATGCAAGTGCTAACACAACTCAGCTCCGCTTAGCTTCCCAGATCAGGAAGCACCACTTAGCAAAAGGTGGTGCAACCACTGTAACTACCCTCAGCATTTATATTTTAGGAATAAATTATTCAGTATAATCTCTTCATGGATTCTTGCGCTGCAACATCATTAGGGATCCTAGCTTCATTATAAATACCTAAATAAACCTGAAATTACAGAAAGAAAGCAAGTTAGGATAGGCTAGTATAGGGTAGGAAGGCTCTGTACCTGAGATAGTCTCTCCTGCAGAGTTTCCTGCCCAGTTTATAGTACAATCGTCTCCCCACCTCTCCAAGCCTGCATCCACACAGGTCACAGCTGAGGCAGTCCTCGTGCCAATACTGATCGATCGCTTTCAGGAAATAACGGTCCCCAATGTTCTGCTGGCAACCTCCACATGTCAGCAGTGAAGGGGGGATTTGGAGCACTTCATCCACTGGCTCCCTGGGAGAATGAAACAATTGTTGGAGAAGGGAAAGCCCTTTAAACTCAACCAAACAAGCAAAAAAATCAAACCAGTCGCCTAATTAGAACAGGAATTATGGCCAGATTATTCTCCCATTGAAGTCAATGGCAGCCCCCTTCACCTCCTTGTTATCAATGGGAGCAGGAGTAGGGTTTTTTCATTTGTTTTAGAAACAGAACAGCCTAATATTTAGGAAATCACCAAAGGTGGCAAAAACATTGTTAATTCTTTGTTTCTTCTTTGCAAAGACTAAGGTGCAAACATGACAATCTGTACAACACCTCTAGCTGTTCATTGCAGTAAACACATTTAACATATTGTAAATGAATTGTCTGTACATGTATACCACTGCCCTCTACTAAAGAGAATAAAAATGTCCAACTATGAGTCATAGTCACCACACTGCTATAAAATAAACAAGATTGTCCTTTAACACACGAGGTAAGGGACAGTTATTTTGGAGGAAGAGAGTCTGGATTCACGGTCTCAGTGAAGTTCTGATTGTGCTTCTGCATATGCTGATGACAACCATTAAGTCCTGGGATTTTTTGTAATCATTTTGGTATTTTAAAGTAGTTCCCTTTTATCCATAGCAAAATGTAGCAATGCCTTCCCTACCATGAAAGGGACATCTTACATGGTGTTTTTCAATAAGATTACTATGTTTATCAGTAAGCATTTAAAAGGGACACCCTTCAAACAGTATAAATCCCAAGATCTATCTATAGATTGTTGAGGACCACAAACAGTATTATAAAACAATTGCAATCTTAAAAAAAATACACACTCATTCTGTGGGCTTGAACCTGCAGTCCTCATTCTGCAGAGCTGCTGCAATCAATGGGAATTCTGCCTTAAAAAGGGCTGCAGGATTAGAAGATGTATACTAAGAGTCCTCCAGGATTGTTGCATGGAATTAAACTTTCCTTTGAGGAAGGTACATTTGAAGGCTAAGCCTAAAGATGGCATCTGTTTGAATAAGATTAAAAATGAATAAATACAACAGGCAAGACTCTGGCCCCATGGAAGTTTTGCTCTTGACTTCAGTGGTGCCAGAATTTCACCCAACCTTACTACAATACTTTTTTCCTCCTGGTTAATGCAACCAAGAGTCTGACTCTGATCTCACCTTCACTGGTTTTACACCAGTATAACTGCACTGACTTCAAGGAGTTACTCCTGATTTATACACATGTGGATGAGAGGAGACTCAGGTCCCAAAACTGTATTGTGGTAGTACCTTAAGGGTTTTTTTTGAAGCAAATATTCATCCACAATATTTCGTTCCTATACCAGTCTGACACCTCATCATTTTTAAACAAGAACAAGAAGAAATGGATCTACTAATACAGGGGATGAAGCCATAATTTTCTGCAAATACACTTTAAGAAAGCCTGTTTGCACCACTTTGCAAGTTCTGCCAGAAACACTACTGGCAAAAAATTAAAAGAATCGCCTATGGGCTTAATCCTGCAAGGTGCTGAGTACCCTAGCCTTGATCCAGCAAAGCATGTAGGGCCTTATCCAATGCTCACTGAAGTCAGTGGAAATAGGACTCCACTGGATTAGACCCTTAAGCACATGCTTAACTTTAAGCATGTGACCAGTCACATTGAATTCAACTACTCAGATGCACATGCTTCAGTGCGTTCCTGAATCAGAGCCAGAGCCCTCAACACCTTGCAGAATCTAGCCCAATATTCTTAAGTATCTTATTCAGTTATTGATATCACAATCTGTGGACAATTTGCTTTTATTACATACTGCAACTGCACTGCTGAGGACAGAATGTAACTACACTGCCAGAAAGAAATCTGGCTGTTTAGCATTTCCAACAGGCCAGGGAAACTAACATTTTTCTACTACCTTCACTTACTGGAAAAAAACAGTTTCCTAGTTAAAAATGACTTTCTTCAGTGTCTGAAAAACGTACAGTGCTCCAGAACTTCCATCCTAAAGACTGCAGTCCTTACTTAGGCAAAACTCCCTCTGACTTCAGAATTCAGTCATAAGATAGCAACTGCTCTTATGCACTTCCATTTTCACTCTTCACAGTTTATATAGCTGTGTCCTAACATTCTTATGACTTGCAGTCCACACCTGCCAGCCCAGTATTGCCAGTAAAGTCAATGGGAGTTTCTACATGCAAAGGATCAGACCCTAGAATTTCAAAGCATATAGAGGCAATGCCTTACAATTGCGTCATAAGTCAGAACGTCGCAACTCGGAACCGCAATCTACTCTATTGCGGGACTGAGCGTCGTAAACTTGAAACCTATAGTCATAAGTCGAATCAGGGTATCAATGTAGAACCACCATAAGTTCAGTTCGTTGTAACTCGAACATCTTAAAGTCGAGGACTGCCTGTACCTCTGTGCCCTGTGCTTTTCATACAGTGCTACTCATAGTACCATCCAACCACATATATAACTATAAAGGAATGCATGATGTTTCTGTGAGGCTGGCTTGAAAACATCAATGCACTAAACAACACACATAAGCCAAATAATATAAACAGGGCATTATCCCACAGAACAAAGCATTGTGTTTATCTGCAGTAAATCCTACAGGTCCACAAGAATATTTTAGGGATATGAGGAGATAAGGAAGCAGCTTTTCCACAATAAATGCAGCCCTTCTTTTGGGAGTTCAGATGTACACATACGTGCACCAATAGCAGGAACCATGAGTTCGTTATTTCAAAGCCCAAGTCAGGTACTACAGTCTTACACTTTGGCAGATGATCTCTTGAGCTGCTTTCCAGCCCTGAGTCTATGTTTATTTTTAATAGAATTTCTGTTTCATGCATTAGCTTTTCTATGTGCTTGGATTTCATACCAAGCAGTTATTCACTAGAACATAAAGTAGGTAAATAAATAAATATTGCTACTACTTTGTAGTTGAAACCTTTTAAAAAGTACCTAGAAGGTTAAATTACAATTCCTTAAAAATCAATGGGAAATGAGAAAAATGGTAACAAATGCAAAATGTCTGATATGACATATTAACTGCCTTGGAGCATGTGTGAGTTATGTTTTACACATGTTAGATTAGGGCTTCAGAAGACAACATTCTTAATGACGTACAGGAAACAAAGCCCAAATTAATTAAATTTATAGGGGGAAATCATATTTTAAGTTTTACTTTGAAAACCAGGACTTTACAAGTGTTTTTTCTCTCTGTAATATCACAGTGCCCCTAAGACACAGACAAGTGCAATGCGCTTAATGCTGCTCTTGAGATGTACAGCCCTGGAATTCAGTGGAATGACACCACACATTGTGGAGCTGAATTAACACTCCTCTTGCAATTAAGTGCCTGCATGTGCTTGGTGTCCGAATGGATGGCTCCAGGAAATCTACTGAAAGAGCCAGATCATAATGCTACAATCAGTTACTGAATTTATGTAACCTCTTCCACAAAGGTGGCAAATGAGAACAAATGTCTCCTCCCACGCCCTCTGTGTATCAATTCTTTATATATTTGTGGTCCATGTATGGAACCCCTCCCTCCCCCACACCACCATTATAATCTTTTGAAAGTTTCAAACTGACTTGTAGTATGAAAATGTGGAAGTTGTACACCATCAGATAACAGCTCTGACCTTTCAGTCTAGTCAGCTACTTCGGCAGATTAAACATGGAGCAGAGACTGAAAACAAGTTAAGCTTTGGAAAGTATTATGCACCCGGTATCTCTGAATTACTCTCATCAGCATCACTGAATCTCAAGAAGTGGGGAGGGGGGAATGTACTGATCTTAAGGGTTGTTAGATTTTTTCAAACAGGAGGTTTATTTTGGCAGGTATGTCACAAAACCTGAGAAATCTGATGAATCTATAATTTGGTTTCAACTCAAAATGGGGAACTGGATGTCTCTGGGCTGGTGCTGCCATCCACATGATTAGCACACTGATATCCACAGAGGTTGCCTAGTCCAGCACCAGCTCAAAGAAATCTACCAAACCTCCCCATTACAGGCACCAAAGTGACACACTACCAAATCCACCCAGGTTGTAATATATTACAATGGCAGCAGGGTTTGGAAGGGGTGGTGGTGGTGGTGCTCGGGACTTTGTTGCATGCAGGGATATTATTTTGAAGGTAAAAGCAGCCCTAGTATATTGCTGAACCACCTTCTACCAGAAAGAGATCTCCAAAGCGTCTCCCTAGAACTGGTGCTTACACAAAATAAACAATAACTAAATAATAATAATTAACAACAACAACAATAATAAAGGACTCTTGAAGCCCATAAAGTCCTTTTCAAGCCCATTTGCTGGAGAAGCTCAATATCCATCAAAAGGCAGAGCGGGGGTTAGGAAAGAAAAAAAGGCCACTTACTCGGAAGGATCGAGGCTTTTTCTCTCGATGGCTGATGACATTGGCAGGGCTTGTTCCTTTGTAGTGTGTCTCTGGTAGGATCTGCCCCCTCTGCCCCGACAAAGGCTGTCTGCTCCTGATGCCTTTTCACCAGCTGAGTTTCCCCTCCACCCCCCAATGACATTCACAGGATTTCCTCCTGCAACACCAAAGAGAGAAAGAAATATGGGTTGCTGCTGCTGGGTTATGTCTCCGCAAGGCTGACCCTTAGGATCTAACCTCCCATCCTTGCAATGCTCCTCCTGTTTGCTGCGTGGCTGGGCAGCCCCAGCTGCTGCTGCTGCTGTTCAGATCACTGATGGAAACAGACTGTCTCAGCTGTCACTGCTGCTTACCCTGGAGTCCCCTTTGCTTTGCTTATGCTTTCTGCCTGGACAGCTCTGTACATGCTCTAGACTGAGATAGGTGCATATGCCGCAGATGCGGAGATCAGCATCATCCTTATTATTATTTAGCTCAGCCCCGAGTCTCTGGTTTCATTTCCTTTTTCCTGATCACGATTCAAATACAATAGAAGGAAATCACACTTAAAGAGACAGCTGCCCATTTCTTAACTGGACTCCGGGGGATTTAGCAACACAAACAGCAGCATCACGACCGAGTTGGCTTCTTAAAGGGCCAGTAGCACCCTTGCCACAGAGTCCGTGCTGGGGAGCTGACTTCGCATTTTTACAACCCTGTGCAATTTAAGATTACGATACAGTTTTGAAGCGAGCGAACAAACAGATATGCAGCCTGAAAACGATCTTCTGGGCGTGTATCAAGTACCCTGTACTATTTTTACTGGCATCTTTAATCACATATATTACCAAAAGCACTCTAGGGTAATGGTATCTCTCTCTCTCGCTGTGTGTGTTCAGTGCTTTGAGGTCCAAAAATAAAAAGCATTATGTAAGAACTAAATATTACTATTATTATCTACCTAGCTATGAGCCAACTAGGTCCAACTAAGCTATGTCTCTGCCTCTTTTATTCTATGGTTTGATAGTCATCAGGTATCAGCACAATTGATCCTCATCTAGTTCATGATGGGTAATATAGCAAATTTATACCTTATTGCTGTTTGCTGCTAATTAGCTAGAAAAGCTCTGGAGTGGGAGGTTATTGATCTGTAATTAATCATGTAAACACTAGAGATGGGAACCTATGTGACCATTTCAGCTATCTCCCCACCCCTTGGCAGTCTTCAGCCCTTACTCTCCCTCAAGGCAGGAGGGTTCTCTGCAGTGCATCCTGGAGCGGAATGATTTACACCAGCAAAATTAAACCTACTACTGCAATTACGGCATTTTGCCTTCCTCTGAAGCATTAGGTACTGGCCACTGCTGGAAGCAGGGCCCTGGATTAGATGGACCATCTGCTTCAGTAATTGCGATGTAAAAGATCAGAAATAAAGTCTGAGTGAATAATGAGAGAAATAGTTCACTTATATATTGATTCCCATTCAGGAATATATTTGGTCTATTTTTATTACCCCAGTCCCATTTTATTAACCCCTTGATCCAGTTCTTTGGTCACTGGGGCAATAACACCAGAGAAACATTAAGGGTCTGATCCAAAATCCAGTGAAGTCAGCTGAAAGACTCCTATGGACTTCAAGGGGGGCTGGATCAGGCCCTAACAAATCTCTGATGCCATCTTTGATTATTAGGAAACACCCATCCATTTTATTTAAATATACTGTGTCCAATATACTTTAAAGTTACAGTCTGATAGTCACATTCATAATCCAACATTTTTTACTAAAGGAAAAAGCACTTAGTCTTCATCGGCAGGATGGAATGGTGATATAAATATTTCATGTCAGACATATTAACTATGGTCAGGAGCAAAAAGTAAACCTCCCAGAAAGAGAGAATAATTAAACTACCAAAAGACAGAATAATTAAACTGCTGGGGCCTTTATTAAGATGGCTTGAAGGATTAATAACTGAATTTTAAGGGGGAACAAGAATAACTGTAAGGACTTCAAACACTTTTTTTTTTTAATTAAAGGGACCAAGGGTTCAATCCTACCAGGAATGGAGCACTGCTATGAGGCCACTGACTGGCCTCCAGTCAGACCACCTCAGGCCAGGCCTGGAGCTGGCTACTAAACAGAGAAGGCTCAATGAAGTTAATGAGCCATCCAACCTGCTTAAAGTGAAGCGTGTGCTTAGAGGCTTGGCTGGACTGGGCAAGAGTGCTCAGCACCCTGCAGGATCAGACTGAAAGAAATGTAACATTTTACAATAAACATATTGATCCAAATTCTGCCCTCAGTTAACTCTGTGCAATTACTAGATCCTTAATAAAATGCCAGAGTCAGTGGGGTTGCACAGCAGTAACCGAGCGTGGAATTTAGCCCGCTGTGTCTTCTTATTCTCTACATATAGTGCATTTGCACCTGCCTGCATCTTGCATTTGATCCTCTATGTCCAGCAGTAGGTTATATAACTTTGTAGCTTAATTTTTTTTTAATAAAGCATGGATTGGTTGTGAAAATAACCTTATCACTGCATGTGTGAAGTCAAGTGTTCTAGATGGGATTGCTCTCAAGGACAGTCAATATTCAAAGTTCTAGCTCCTAAAAAATTTTTTTTACGTTTTTTTTTTTAAATAAAATGTATTTATTTAAAAAACCCAAAACAGTGCACACATTTACAGGAAGAGCCTATTGGACACAATCCCACCAAAGAGAAAATCACTCAATGCAAACCTGACAATGGGTAGACAACTTTTGAAATAAACATTTTGGGTTCAATCCTGCCAGGAATGGAGCACTGCTGTGAGGCCACTGACCTCAGTCGACCACCTCAAGCCAGGCCTGAAGCTGGCTTCCAAGTAGAGAAGGCTCATTGAAGTAAATTAGACATCTAATGTGCTTAAAGTTAAGCATGTGCTTAAGGGTTTTACTGGATTAGGCAAGAATACTCAGCATCCTGCAGGATCAAACCCTTAACCAATAAGAACCTCTCCCATCTGGAAATGGCTGAACAAGGTTCAAAGCATCTGGCTAAGAAGCTGAAGCAGGCTGTATATGCATTTCAGGTACAGGGTTTGACTCAGGCTTTCAGATCCTGGGCAATATGCCTAAAGAAGGTGATATGCTCAGTTGCTTAAGTAGACAGCCTGTGAAAGTGCTGATGGTGCTACATGATTCTTACAGATACCACCTATCTGCAAGTCTAAAGAAAAGCATGATGACCACCAGAAGAAGCAGCTCTCTCAAACTCCCTCTTCTCCATGGAGATAAGATGCCAGCAGGAGGTAGGGTGGAGAGAACTGGATATAGAGGAAAAAGCAGATCACTTTGCTGTTGTGCAAGATAACAAATGTTCGTTTCACTGTGCTTAGTGAGAGAGTGCTGCTTGAACTCAATCTAGTTAAACAAACAGTAATCAGGAAATACTGCATGAGGATTAAAGTTGTCATGGTACCTTAAATAGGCTGCACTACAAAGACACAAGGTAACATTAGGCTCCATATGACAGGTGCAATTTCCAAAACCAAAAGAAGGTCACTTTGCAGGCAGCACAGTGGCTGAAGACAAACTGTCAGGAAGAAGTAGTCTGCATTGATGGGCATGCACCAGACTGCAGGATTTGTCTGAGTGGGATTTCCATAAACCGTGCTTAATTTGTGCCAGGGCTTGCCAGGGCTGAGCCCAGCACCTCTAGGCTTGGCAGTTCATAGCCCTGGCACCTCTGGGCTTGCTGCATCAGTTATGAAAGTAAAAATATTGCTTGAGTCCCGGCACCTCTTTCATTACAAATTAAGCACTGCCCATAAGCATCTAAAATAAGTGCCTTTCCCTAAATTTTCAGTGGCTGGATTCAACACCACGTTCTAAAGGATTAACAGACTGAAAGCTGAGTAAGGAAGTGCTCACCATCCTAATTAAGAACTGGTTTTCTAGCAGCTCTATTAGGGTGAGGAAAATGCACATAGCAAAGTAATGGATTTCGTGAGATAACTCAATTTTTCCTTACCAGGTTTGTAGACGATAGATACTGATTCTGATGAGAAGGACAGTATTCTAGTGGGCAGAGCAAGAGACTGGGAATCAAGATGGGCTTTCCCCCCACACTATATGGGCAAGTCGTTTAACTAATTGTGCCTCAGTTTCCCCATCTGTAAAATGCTTATCTCCCTCAATGGAGTGCAAGCTTAATTAATTCATTTTTATATCCTTATGAGGAATGCTACAAAAGTACAGAGTGCTATTAATTGCTAGAAACTGCAGTGCCTATGTTTCCTGCATAGGGACTAAAAGGCAAGTATTATTTGTAGTGTAATCTTTTCTTGTCATTGTACCTTTCTCAAGGATGCCATGTTTTCCAGTGGTGTTTAACACAGCTTTTCATAATCATTGACCGCTTGGAAATCATGAGCAATGAGTGTTGGTTTCAATTAACTTTCATTAAGATGGATGATCCTGTAGACTTGCTCTTGAACCAAGGCCTAGATCAAATCCAATGTTGCTGACTGTATTTATCATGCACAACATGTGCACTAAAGGGCTGTGAATAAATTGGCTGGCTACATCAGCATATTTCTCAATGAGAGCATTTTATATAATGTTTCATAGCTCCTATGAAACAGTGTCATCCAAGCAAAGAGCTAAATTTATGCATTTCCAAAGAACTGCACCCCCTGTTGGAATCTGGGGAGCCATCGTTATCCTTGCTTTTGATCTCTTCTTATGCGAGGTACCAGGACTCCCTCTTGTACTAACAGAGCTCAGCCCAGCCAGACCTTAGCATTATTTTAAGGCTGACTGTATCTGAGCATTTCCCATAGATTGCATTGATAATGTGGAACCATTTCAGATCACACCAGTTTATAGACGCAAAGGCTGAGAACTAACTTTATTTCTTTCAACTATAATGGATGAAAATTATTTTGCTTTTTACCTTAAAGTGCAGTTAATGAACCATTGATGCAAGAATAGAATCTCATTGACTGTGTGGTGGGTTAGTTGCTAGCCCTCCGGCTATTAGGCCAGAAAGGTTTAGAATCAAAACCATGTCTAGTGGTTAGAGCAAGATTGCCAAAGTTTTATACATACTTGCATACAATTACACCATTAGGATGTACACAATTAGATCAGGGGTTTGGCTGTCAGGACTCTGGGCTTCTATTCTTGATTCTGCCACTGTTTCACAATGTGACCATGGGCAAATCACTTCACCTTTTGTGCCTTGGTTTCCCCATCTGCAAAATGGGGGAATCAGGGCTTGTATACATGGTGAGTTACTGAGTGGCAATCCAGGATCTAAATCTACCACACACCAGCTTGCTACACAGTAATTCACTGTATGGACATTACTACCACCCACTGAAAGTTCCGGACTGCAGTTTAGCATGTGCGGAAAGCTTGTGCACTGTAGGTTTACACCCTGGCTTGCTGTGCAGTAATTCGCCGTGTAGAGAACTCCTTAGCTGTATCTACTTCACGTGAGCTGTGTGAAATGATTGTACAGTCCTTGGAGTTGCTTGGATGAAGGTCCTATAAAAGTGTAAAGCTGCCACTACAGTGCAAACTGCACTGTGAGACGTGCAGGCCTTCTGCTAAGAGATGTAACTGAGGTACTTTGTGTCCACCTGTGGTGTCAAT